TTGAAAGACATAAAGTTATCTTTCTCTTTTAGGCATTTGGAGGGGTGCAAAGTATACTGGGGGTTTCACTGATATTTCTCTCATGACTAATGACTCTGTACATTTATGTAAGTTTACTGGGGTTTGGATATTTGAGCTCATGGTATATTATAAAGGAGTACATCAACAGAGTCCCTAATGCTGTGAATCTCTTCTAGGCTGAACAAAAACAGATTGTGTCTATTGTTCCTCTGAGAATATGGTCTGATGCACTTACCAACCTTAGGGTTCTCTCCTGGACTCTTCTAGAATTTCAGCGTCCTGGTAGAGCTGAATTTTCCTCTGGATGTATGTTAAGCTACACAGATAAGAGAGCAGGACTCTCTTCAAGACTAGCAGACCCTCTACTTCTATTAACAGATCAAGTATCAAGGCAGATACAAGAAGTTCCATATCATCCCCTTATTTTGTTTCAACGAGCCTTTAATGATTTATTATTTTTAGTTTATTAATACTTAATACTTAGACTCTGCAGTAATACTAAAAGTCCTATACTCACATCTATTCATTCAACAACCATTAATTGTAGACTGATTATGACTCAAACACTTCTCTGGACATTGGTGATCTAAAAAAGCAAAGTCCATGCCTCAACATACAATACATTAATAAAAAAATAAGGCCGGGCACAGTGGCTCAGGCCCGTAATTTCAGCACTCTGGGAAGGCAAGGCAGGTGGATCACCTGAGGTCAGGAGTTCAAGACCAGCCTGGCCAACACCAGCTCTACTGAAAGTACAAAAATTAGACAGGTGTGGTGGTGGGCCCCTGTATTCCCAGCTACTTGGGAAGCTGAGGCTGGAGAATCACTTCAACAGGGAAGGTGGAGGTTGTGGTGAACTGATACTGTACCACTGCACTCCAGACTGGGCAACAGAATGACTTTGTATCAAAAATAAATAAATACATAAATACATATGTAAAATGAAATAAAATAAAAAAGGTTGGATGTGGTGGCTTACACCTGTAATCCCTTCACTTTGGGAGCCCAAAGTGGGTGGACTGCTTGAGCCCAGGCGTTCGAAAACAGGTGGACAACATAGTAAGACCCTGTCGCTACAAAAATAAAAAAAAATTAAAAAAAAAAAAAAAAAAACCAGGCATGGTGGTGTACCTGTGTTCTCAGCTACTTGGGAATCACTTGAGCCAGGGAGGCTGAGGCTGCAATGAGCCATGACTGGGCCACTGAACTTCAGTCTTACTGGCAGAGCAAGACCCTGTCTCAGGAAACAAACAAGCAAAAACCAAAAAAATAATTTGAAATAGTGAGACTCTAAAGAAAGCAAACCTATAAAATGAATGAACAGTGATTGGTACAGGAAATGAGGGAGCAATAATTTTCACAGAGTGTCAAGGAAGCTTCTACACAGAGGTAGATGGAAGCTAAAACCCAACTGATTAAAAACAAAACCAAAAAATACCCTAGCAAGGTGTTGATGAGAGTGAAGAGGGTTTCAGTAGAAGGGAATGGCAAAGGTCAAGGTCACAAAGACACAGTCCCAGCGAGCAGGCCAGAGTGGATAGGGTCTGTGAGGGATGCAGGAAGGAGGGTGCCTGGTCAGGAGTGTTTACCAGTGAGTTCACAGAGGGGAGACTTTATAAGCCACAGAGAGGAGTTCAGATTTTATGGTTGTAAAATAGGAAGACAAAGGAGGGCCTCAGACAGGAGAGTGACAGGTCCTGATATTTAGTTTTTAAACAGGGTTGGCAAACTAGCCAAACGGCTAGCCATTGGTTTGTGTAAATAAAATTTTATTGGAATACAGCCATGCACTTTCCTTCATCTGTCTGTGGCTGGTTTCATGCTTGGTTTTGTGGTTTCATGTTTTAACATCAGAGATGAGTAGATGTGATCGAGATAATATGGCACACAAGCCTAAAACATTTATTATCTTCCCTTTAAGAAGATCACTTTGGCTATTTATAAAGCATAAACCATGGGGAAGGGCAAGAGTGCAAGCTGGGAGACCACTCAGAAGATTATTTAGTAGTCCCGGCAAGAGATGATGTGGGTAAGAGCAGGGCAAATGGGGTGGGGAGTGATGAAATGTGATGGACTGTGGGAAGATTGTGTGATCAAATCTATAGAAGTATTACAGAGAGAAAGCAAAAAAAAAAAAAAAAAAGCAATATTCTGTAGCCAGTGGTTAGTTGATGCTCTTCTGCAATTCCTGAACACAGTCCATATTTGAAAGGTTTCAACTTTACATGGTAAGAGCAGTATATTTTTGTAGAAAATATTATTACTATTATTTTCAGAGTCACACAGCTCTCTGATTACAGTAATCGACTTAGGTGCTCCACAAAATGAAACCACATGCCAGTAGGTAAAATGCTTGCCTTCTCTTTCCAGTGTTTCTCTGTCAGTAAATATTTATTCCTTAAAACCTTTTCTCAAGGCTGTCCCCAATATTCAATTACGCAAAAAGCCATGAGTAAATGGAGTCCTATCTAAATGAAAATAACAACATGTAAACTCCAGTTGATTTTTGCAAACAAGACTTTTCTCTCATTAACATTATCCTGCAAGAAAAGATAATTTCAGGAAGCAAGTTCATTTGGGGATCCTTTAGACTGAGCATGCTAATGAGGAGACCATCAGCCCAAAGCCTCTTACAGGTGGAAGACATTAAGTCTTAGTCCTAAGGGGGCAGTTGTCCTTGTATTGGAAGAATGTGACTCCTGATGAATGGGAAGAGGAGGCCACTGTGCCGGGATAACTACAAAAAAGAAATTACTTAGCTAACCACAAAATAATTCCAGGCAGGGGGCAGGCATTCCAACTGCCCATTCCCAAAAAGGTAGGAGGACAGAGGACACTGGATGATTTCCAAGGAACTAAAAGAGGTTTAGAAGAAAAATAAAGTGGAGATGTTACAGATTTGCAGATCTACTGACCTTAGAATGGTCATGAAATTTTCTTTGACATACCCTGAAAAAGGAAAATAGGATTTCAGATTAGGTTTTATAAATCCCTACTCCGTAATATGTGGACAAGGTCAGTACATTTCAAAACTGGATGAACTTTTTCACATCTGGTTTGGGTTAGGAAGGTTATTGGCTAGGGAGTTTCAAACAAGGTGGAAACTTGAAGCCAATTTTATGGGTGTGAACTGAAACTGACAAAGAGCTATTTCAAACAGTCTGCTAGGAAACAGGGAGAACCTCCAAAAGGTCTGACATGAATGCACAGATATAAATATGTCACCATGTTTGATACACAAATCAGAGAGCTCAAACAGTGCCACCAAGGAGAAAAATAAATAGCCTCTATAAGTGGGCATTTGCCACATATATATATATATATATATATATACACACACACACACACACACACACACATACATACACACACACATATATATGAAAGAAATGGTCTTTATTTTGCATCTGATATCTTCCATGAATGAATGGTAGCTATGAATATCTAAATATAAATAGGGTGAACTTTAATTGGGTCATTAAATTTTCAGTGGGATAGAATGAAAGCATTCTAATTAATGCAGGCCAATTGTTAAAGGCTGTCTTATTTTCTATTGGTCAAAAAAATTGCTGACTTTCTAGATTGTCTAAAGAGACAAAATGAAGTGAATGTATTTTATTCTCCATTAACCAAATTATTTAATGGTGCATGTGTGGAAAACACTGATTTTCTTCTTTTTATTTTTGGTATTTTACAAATGGCTAGTTTTAAAAACAAATCATCAATTAGATATAGATGCTTTGTTAACAAATTAATAAGGACAAAGAGAGACCATAAAGCACAACAACTTCATGACTCTAGATGTGATTGAGATACTATGGCCCACAAGCGTAAAACGTTTATGATCTTCCCTTTAAGAAGATCAGTTTGGCTGTTTATAAAGCATAAACCATAGGGAAAGGCAAAAGTGAAAGCTGGGAGACCGCTCAGGAGATTATTTAGTAGTCCAAGCATGAGATGATGTGGGCTACAGTAGGGCAAATGGGGTGGGGAGTGATGAAATGTGGATAGATTGTGGGAAGACTGTGTATAAACTGTATAAACTGTAAACTGCATCAGGATGAACTGACCAAATCTTCACCAGTCAAGGAGGCCATCTGAGAAACCTACTCTCTCTATTATTTTGAAGTAAAATTTTTTATTCTTTTTTATTTCAAGCTCTATAATAACTAGATGGATCAGGCTAGAAAGGGTCTGAGAAGCATTCTTCTGCTTAGTTGATATTTCGCCCTCTAATTCTGCTTTTAGGAGAAAGGAAGTTTCATAAGTGTCTGCATTTTTCTGTTGGCTTTTGATAAATTTTTAAGGCCTTACAACCAACAGTAAACTCAAAGACCACTAAGAGCATGAGATAAAGATTATTTTTGTCTCTAAGACACTTAAAAATAATTAAACAACAACAACAGCAATACTATATGGCCTTCCACCCAAAAGAGTTCATTGCTGTTCAACTCATTGAATATTATTTGACTATTGCTCCCAAGTTTTAAGGAAATTTGAAATTTTGATTCTGTTCTTCAAGGTAATTTTATACTTTAAAGTCAATTAAAAATGACTAAACCAAGCTTCTTTAGGTAAACAACACAGGATTTAAGACTGAGCATTGAACTCTATAGATTACATCATTACTGATCAAATCTTGCCGTCAAGTGCACAGAAAGCATTTTCTTTTTTTAATGTTAGGTTTCACAGAGATAAAACTAATTTCATTCTCTATAGCACCTTAAATCCATGAGTGCAACAGGAGCAAACATTTTAGAGAAGAGGATAAAATCATTTTCATTTATACGGATGTAACATCTCTAAGGGATGGATTTTCATCATGCTGCTATGAAATCAAGATGAATTGCACGTCAATGAATGATTGCACCTTTAAAGTGGTGCCAAGGATGCACAATTTTGGGTAAATAAATCTTAGTAAGTGATCCAGAAGCATAACAAAATGTACCAGAGAAAAGAGATACAAGAGAATATTAGAGAAAAGATGTGTTCAATCTTTATTTCTCAGATTACTTTTAAATCTGGGCATTAATCACTGAAAAACGATCACCTAAATTGAAGTCTGGTGATAACAGAAATTGATGTCTTTGAGATCATGGCAAAATATAATTTCTCTGTTGTACCAGAAATGTTATTTAGAAACACTTCTTTAAAACAAACACACAAGATGCAAAATTTAGTTTTTTCTTCCTGAAATAGAATCTCACAAGAAAGTGTAAGATAGAAGTAATCAAACAGTCTAACTACAGGATTTGCTGATTTCATCAACAGAAATGATCAACAAATAGCTGTTGCTCAGAGTCACAGTAAATTCAGAAGAACAAAATTATGCGCTTTAATTGTGTTTAAATGATGAATCAAGAAGAACATTAGTAACAAATTCCCCCTAAAAGCAATACATCTTCAAACTGAAAGTGTATACCTGTGGCACAAACCAAATCTACTACAAGCAACTGCTGTCCCAGTATGGGAAAATTCAGTTAGGGAATTTGAAGCTCACATGGCCAGTACCATTGGTAAAAACTTACGAAAATAAATTATTATTTATGTAGCAGAAAAATAGCGATTAAACAAGCTAAGCATCTCCATATACCATTTTTTCATGATGATATCTTAAGCCCTAAAAATTATATATGCTTCACCCTTAGGAGTAAAATACAAATATGAACATTCAAACACCTGGGCATATCTCTTTTCAACCTTAAATAGGTTGATCCAAATTGCCAGGAAATACAGAGAGATATTTAATATCAACACATACAACTGGATGGATAGGATTTTTTAAAATAAATACATATTTTCTTGCTACCTCTACCTTTCTCATTCAACAATCTTCTAGTCTGTTAATATCTCACCATCCTCTATACCAACACTAAAAAAAAAAGACGTGAAATCTGGTTGAAATTAAAAGCCAGAAAATAGTACCTTTGTATAAGATGGCTTTGGTTTACTACAGGTGGTAGATGTGGATGAAGAAGTGTATTAGTTATCTATGGCTGGATAACAAATGACAACAAAAGACAGTAGTTTAGAACAAGATTCATTATGTCACAGTTCCTCTAGGTCAGAAATTTTAGTGTGGCTTAGTTCAATCCTGAGGCGCTGGAACCCTAACCAAGCTGCAGTTATCTGAAGACTTGACTGGGAAGCAGCCTTCGCAAGCTGATGTGAAATCATATATTGCCCCTTTTGCTGATACCCTTCATTAGAAGTGAGTTGCTAGGTCAGATTATCCTTAAAGTAAGTGGATTACCAAAGGGTGTGCACACCGTAGTGCAGAGATCACAAACAGCCACATCAGAAACTGCCTCCCACAGGAAGGATCAGCATCAAAACACAAATAATGCACCCTGGGTGCAGCAGTAAAACGTGTAGCAATATCAGCTCTACCTATAACAATGCACTGTTGGTAGGTGCATTACTTTTAAAAAGCAAAGCATCCTTACATTAAGCAAGTAATTACCAATATTATTGCCATTGAGCTAAATATTGTCAAATAAAAATGTATGTTATGGGTTGAATGACATTCTCCAAAAATATATGCTCAGGTACTAATGCTTAGTAGCTGTAAATGTGATTTTACTTGTAAATAAGGTCTACACAGACACAGTCGAGATAAGATGAGGTCATGGGGGTCTCAAGTGACAGAGAGTGGCTAATCCAATATAGCTAGTGTCCTTATAAGAAGAGAAGAAGAGACACAGACAGAGGCACACAGGAAGATGGCTAGGTGATGATGGAGTCAGAGATGGAAGCCATGTGTCTGTGAGTCAAGGAATACCAATAATTGCATGCAAGGAACAAATGTAACAGATTCATCACTAGTGACTTTAGAGAGATGTTGGCCCTGTCAACATCTTGATCTCAGACTTCCAGCCTTAAGAACCACGAAAGAGCAAATTTCTGTTTTAAGCAACCCAGTTTATAGTACTTTGCTATGGTAGTCCTAGGAACTGAATACAATATACATGTCAGAAAGCAAAGATATCAATTTTCCTGATGCCTCCTTGGTATTTCAAACAAAAATCTTTATGCCAGCTTCATGGTGGCTGTTCAATAACAGATAAACAAACAAACTAAATTTATTAAAATAATAGGATGTGGGCACTAGTAAGACTTAGGTTTTATAATTCTAAGGGCTAATATATAAAAATTCATTCTTCAGATTGAACAAATCAATTTAAATACTTTAAAATCCAGTAAAATTTGGAATTATTTGTCATATTTACTCTTGTTTGGATCTGATGCTGCTTTTGGTAATAGTCTCTTAATAATTATTTAGTCATCTAATACATACTGGTGAGTGACATGTAACATTGTATATAGAGCCTACATAGAAGTACGTAAAAAGGAAACTACATATAAAAATATTCCAAAATGATTAATGAAAAGTTACAACGGCCATATTTGAAGACTTACTCTACATTAACATTATCCCTTTATCTTTAAACTTTCTTTTTTTGAATATTTACTATTTTAAGAATACCATAAAATAGTTATTTATTAAAGTATTTATCATTTAAGTGAAGCTAATTTAAAATCATTTATCTGCTATATATTGTCAAAAATTATAAGACATTGAATAATGAGTAAGGCTTAGAGGATTATCTTAAATATTAAAGAACTTAAAACACTACTTAGAATCTATCAAAGCAAATGCATATGCTAATATGTATTATTTTTCTTTTTTACCCTGTCCATGGTGTTTTGAGTACATGGTCACAAAAATTGCATAAGTAGAAAAAGATTCCCTTACCATGTGGATGTCATATCAATATTATTAGATGGAAAGAAACACATACATATATGCATACTATTAAGTTACTTAAAGCTGATGATCTCTCAGGATGGAGATGATTTAACAGCCAAAATAGCAGTAAATCAAAGCCACATTTAATAATATATTTGCTCTTAGAAAAGTAAACAGGTGTGCTTTCTTGCAACTGTGCTGTCTGACTAAACACATGGGCAGAATTTCATCTTAATACTTCCAGCTGTGTTGACCATCTGTTCATCCTTTTTAATTTTAATTAATAATAGAGACTCTCTTTATTTCATTAATCTCATTGGCAAATTTGTATTCACAATTTGCCCTATTTATGGATAAAGAAACAAGTCTGAAGAAATCAGAAATTCTAACGGTTCATCCCTTCTCTAGTTTTACTTTAATCAGCGACTCTAAAAGTAAATAAAGTTGTTCCCTTTAATAATAATAGTTGTTTTCAAACTTTAAACCAACAAAGATAAAAAAAAAGAGAAAGAAGGGAATTACATAATGGTAAAGATATCAATTCAACAAGAAGAGCTAACTATCCTAAATATAACACAATCCTAAGCAAAAAAAAGGAAAAAAAGGTGGAGGCATCACGCTATCTGACTTCAAATGATACTACAAGGCGACAGAAACCAGATCAGCTTGGTACTGGTACCAAAACAGATATACAGACTAATGGAACAGAACAGAGGCCTCAGAAATAACACCACACATCCACAACCATCTGCTCTTTAAAGAAAAAACTGACAAAAACAAGCAGTGGGGAAAAGATTCCCAAATGGTGTTGGGAAAACTGCCTAGCAGAAAACTGAAACTAGACCCCTTCCTTGCATCTTATACAAAAATTAACTCAAGATGGATTTAAGAAAAGACATAAAATCACAAAATCTCTAGAAGAACAACTTAGGCAATACCATTCAGCACATAGGCATGGGCAAAGACTTCATGACTGAAACACCAAAAGCAATGGCAAAAAAGCCAAAATTGACAAATGGGATCTAATTAAACTAAAGAGCTTCTACACAGCAAAAGAAACCATCATCAGAGTGAACAGGCAACCTCTAGAATGGGAGAAAAGTTTTACAATCTATCTACATGACAAAGGGCTAACATCAAGAATCTATAGGGAACTTAAACAAATCTATAAGAAAAAAATGAACAACCCCATCAAAAAGTGAGCAAAGGATATGAACAGGCACTTTTCAAAAGAAGACGTTTATGCAGCCAACAAACATATTGAAAAAGCTCATCATCACTGGTCATTAGAGAAATGTAAATCAGAACCACAATGAGATACTACCTCATACCAGTTAGAATGGCAACCATTTGAACAGGAAACAACAGATGCTGGAGAGGATGTGGAGAAATAGGAATGATTTCACATTGCTGTTGGGAGTATAAATTATTTCTAAATATTGTGGAAGGTAGTGTGGCGATTCCTAAAGGATAGAGAACTGGAAATAGCATTTGCCCCAGCAATCCCACTACTGGGTATATACCCAAAGGATTATAAATCATTCTACTATAAAGACACATGCACACATATGTTTATTGCAGCACTATTCCTAATAGCAAATACTTGGAACCAAACCAAATGCCCATTAATGATAGACTACACAAAGAAAATGTGGCACATATACACCAAGAAATACTATGCAGCCATAAAAAGATGAGTTCATGTCCTTTGCAAGGACATGAATGAAGCTGGGAACCATCATGCTTAGGAAACTAACGCAAGAACAGAAAACCAAACACCACACGTTCTCACTCATAAATGGGAGTTGAACAACGAGAACATATGGGCACAGGGAGGGGAACATCACACACCAGGCCCTGTTGGGGGGTGGGGGGGAAGGGGAGGGTTAGCATTAGGAGAAATACCTCATATAGCTGATGGGTTGATGGGTGGAGCAAACAGCCCTGGCACATGTATACCTATGTAACAAAGCTGCACATACTACTCATATATCCCAGAATTTAAAGTATAATTGAAAATAATAATAACAATAATAATAATAAATAGGTGTTTTCCATAAACTGAGCAAAATCAGCATCATGTTATAAAAGAGATGCCAGGAATTATTCATCATCTTTTTAACAGATGATGACGTTTTTATCCACAAATATTCATTCCACATAACTTTTTCTTCCTCTTCTTTTTGAAAACTCAATAGTAAGGAATATCCACTGTGAAGTGGGTACTCATAATAATTACATTCAAGGACATTGAGATAGATTTTGTTTACACACCTACATATTTATTTATTTTCCAACTTAATTACACTTAAATCAGATTTTTAAAAGTAAAAAATTTAGGCTCTAATTTTTAAAAACTAAATAAATACACTTTCATTACGAAAGTAAACTGGAACTTTTATTTATAGAATAACTATAGCACTCCAGTTCAACTACCTGCATTAAAAAGTAGTTGTTTTTTTCTGGTCTTAAATATTCAACTTTTTTATTACACTATGTGTGTGTATGTGCACGCACGCGCGTGAGCATGCACGTGCACGTGAGCAGCCATGCATCACTTAAGAACAGGGATGTTTTGCGAAATGCATCCATAGGTAATTTTGTCCTTGTGTGAACATCATAGCATGTACTTACATAAACCTAGATGGCGTAGCCTACTACACACCTAGATTACATGGCATATAGGCTGTTGCTTCTAGCCTGAAAACCTGTACAGCATTTTACTGTACTGGCTACTGCAGTCAATTGTAACACATTGGCAAGTATTTGCACATCCAAACACAGAAAAGATATAGTAAATATATGGTATAAAAGATAAATAATAGTGCACCTCTATAGAGCACCTGCTGTGAATGAAGTTTGCAGGACTAGAAGTTGCTTTGGTGAGTCAGTGACTGAAGGATGAGTGAATGTGAAAGCCTAGGACATTACTGTACACTACTGTAAACTTTATAAACACTGCACACCAAGGCTATACTTAACTTACAGAGTTATAAACTTTCTTTCATCAATAATAAAGTAACCTCTGTTTACTATAATGTTTTTATTTTATGAACTTTTTAACTTATTGGCGCTTTTGTTAAAACACTTAAACAGAAAAACGTTATAAGGCTATATAAAAATATTTTCTTTTTTTATATCTGTACTCTATATTCTTTTTTCTATTTAATTTTTTTTTACATTTTAATTTTTTGTGTTAAAAACTACAACACAAGTATACAGATTACCCTAGGCCTACACCTGGTCAGGATCATCAGTATCTCTGTCCTCTACGTCCATATCTTGTCTCACTGGAAGATCTTCAGGGACAAGACCTGAAGCTGGCAGGAAGCTGTCCTCTCCTATGCCAATAATACTTCTCCTAGAAGACCTCCTGAAGGACCTGCCTAAGGCTGTTTTCACAATTAACTTTTATTTTTTTAAGGAGGAGGTGTACACTCTTAAATAATGATTAAAACATAGTACAGTAAATGCATAAATGAGTAACAGTCGATTATTATTTCAAGTGGTATATACTGTACATAATTCTAAGTACTATACTTTTATTATACAACTGGCAGCACAGTAAGTTTGTTTACACCAGCACCACCATAAAAACATGAGTAATGCACTATGTTATGATGTTATGATAGCTATGAGTCACTAGGGGATATGAATGTTTCAGCTCCTTTATAATCTCACGGTATCACCATCTTACATGCAGTCCTTCATGACTTTAACATCCTTATTCAATGCATGACTATACATGATATCTAGAATAGACAGGGCTTCTCAAACTTTAATGTGCACATAGATCGCACCTGGCAATCTTATCGAACACATTTCTAATTCTGTAGGACTGAGTGAGGCTTGAGATTCTGCATTTTTTTGGTCACATACACATTATTTAATCCTCATGATACACCAACGTAGTTTAAAATGATCACCATTCCCATTCTGCATCTGAGAAAGTACAGAATTTCAGTAAAATGGTTCATAATCACAAAGTTACAATTAAACTATTTCTCATTTATTTCATATTGTTAACACTGGTATCTTTATTTTTTTTTCAACTTTTATTTTAGATTCAGGGAATACATATATAAGTTTGTTACCTGGGTATATTGTGTGATGCTGAGGTTTGGGGTATGAATGATCCCATTACCCAGGTACTGAGGATACTGCTCAGTACTTAGTTTTTCAACTGTTGCTTCCCTTCCTACTTCCCTCCCTTCCTCCTCTCTTTAGTAGTACCCAGTTTCTATTACTGTCATCTTTACATCCTCAAGTACCCAATATTTAGCTCCCACTTACAAGTGAGAATATGTGGTATTTGGTTTTCTGTTCCTGCATTAATTCTTAGAATAATGGCTTTTAGCTCCATCCATAATACTGTAAAGAACAGGATTTTGTTCTTTTTTATGGCTGTGTGGTATTCCATGGTGTATATGATCCACATTTTCTTTATCCAGTCTGTCGTCGGTGGGCATCTAGGTTGACACCCTGTGTTTGTTATTGTGAATAGTGCTATGATGAACATATGAGTGCATATGTCTTTTTGATAGTACTGAGATAGAAATTCAGTAGAACTAGTTTCCAAGACAGCAGGTCACAAGAGTCCACTGATAAGGGAGGATACAGTAAGAGAAACCAGCCTAAACCACCTAACACCAAGATGGCAGCAAAAGTGACCTTTACTGTTCATTGTATGCTAATTATGCTGCATTTCCATAGCAAAAATACACCTCCTGTCACCATGACAGTTTTTGTTTACCGTGGCAACCACTGGAGAAAGCCCTATGTGATAAAGAAAAGGGACAGTTCCGTGGTTACTGGAAATCCATGAAAAGCTTATGAATAATCCTCCTTCTAATTATGCATATTAAACATAATAAAACTGCTGACCTATGACACTCTCACTATGTCTTCTCTCTGAAACTGCCCTGCTCCATCTGTGGAGCAGTACTTTCAATAAAGTTTACTTTGGCTTTGCACTTGGGATTTGCTCCTGAATTCTTTCTGGGACAAAATCAAGAATCCATCTCCCACAACCCTCTCAAGGACCAAGGGTCTGCCCAGCATCAGTACAATTTTTGTCTTTAGATTTATACCCATGAATGTGACTTCTGGGTGAAATGGAAGCTCCCTTTTAATTGCTTTGAGAAACGTCTGAAAGAATGATCTTCTCTCTCATTCATTGTCGATAGTATAGTTAGTATCTTGGCATTTTTGCACACTTCTTCATATATTTTTTAGTGTCCATTGGTGAGCAAATTATATAAGTTATAAGGATTTGCTTCTGATAAAATGCTGCTATACGAAAAAGGTGATAGAGTGGACTATTCTTTAAATATCGTGAGACATGGTTTCCTGTGCTCCTTGCCTCTTGAAAGCAGAGCCAGGAACACAAGCTGCCATGCAGGGATTTTCCTTTGAAAAGTGATGCCAAGGAGCAAGAGTGAGGGAGGTAGCATGCATCAGTAGGGAGGGAAAATCAATGTGAAGTGTGTACTTCAGTTAGTCTACACAGCAGGAAACTCAAGCTTGATCCCGCCATGATCCTCTAAGGAATCATGTATAATGTACTCGTGAATTGTTTGACCAAGAAACAGCAGAGGGGGGCATTTCTTCTCCAGTTCCCATAATCATGGGTTGCCATTTTAAATGTTAGTTCCTGTCCCATTCCAGGGTATGATTGGGTGAATAAAGAAAGATGTCCTGCCAGTGTCCAGTGGTGTTGTCAGAAATGCCCTGGAGCAGAAAATTAGAGAAGAATAGTGCAGCTAAGGCAGCTGACTCTTGGTTTCACTTAGTCTGGGGGTTAGAATAAAAGGTGTATTAGGAGTGTGTGATGCAGAGTCCAAGAATGTCCAATACAGAACAGCCAGAGATTCTTAGACAAAAAAACAATAAAAAGAAAGACATTAGATGGGATGACATATATATGTCTGATTTTTTTTATTTTTATTTTTTTTTGATATGGAGATTTGTTCTTGTTGCCCAGGCTGGAGTGCAATAACAAGATCTCAGCTCACCACAACCTCTACCTCCTAGGTTCAAGCAGTTCTCCTGCCTCAGTCTCCTGAGTAGCTGGAACTACAGGCATGCACCACCACATCCAGCTGATGTCATATTTCTTTTAGTAGAGACAGGGTTTCTCCATGTTGCTCAGGCTGGTCTTGAACACCCGACCTCAGGTAATCTGCCCTCCTAGGCCTCCCAAAGAGGTGGATTACAGGAGTGAGAGACCACACCAGGCCATATGTCTGATTTTATATCTATGGTAACATTATGCTAGTTCTCTGAGTGTGATATAGTTTGGCTGTGCCCCTAACCAAATCTCATCTTGAATTGTGTGAATTCCCATGTGTTGTGGGAGGGACACAGTAGGAGGAAATTCAATCATGGGGGTGGGTGCTTCCTTTGCTATTACTATGATAGTGAATAATTCTCATGAGATTTGATGGTTTTATAAATGGGAGTTACCCTGCACATACTCTCTCTTGCCTGCTGTCATGTTCATCTTCTACCATGATTGTGAGGCCTCTTCAGCCATGTGAAACTGTGAGTCACATCCAGAAACTTAAGATCAGCTACACAAGACCTTGAAAACATTTAGTTAAGAGTTTTAATGTCATTTCTCCTTTCAGGTGTATCATTTGTCACCTGTACTTGAAGGGCTTTACTTCTTATCTCTAGCTTATCACTTATAATTTCTTAGCCTTGTTTTAGCTGCACTTCATTAACCCGTAATGAATTTAAACATACGATCATTTTTAGGTAATTTTAATAATTTGAGGTAAAGATGGAAAAAGAATGAAAAAGTCATGAACAGAAATTCTTGCAGTCTTCTAATAAGTAATTTATATTTAACATTGAGGATATGATTGCATTGTTTATCTTACGGTGTTTTAATTACAATATATAATTTGCCTACCTTCAAGAGTACTTAAGTTATGCACAATAAACATGTTTACATGTTTAGGAAAATAGGTTACTTTAATTTTCAATGTTAGAGGCTATTATTTAACAAAATTATAATGGTTCAAACCCTTCATAAGTTTCTTCATTCAGGCCAAGTATTTTTAAAGGGGGGAATTTAAATGAGAAATTAATTTGTACAAGGCAAAAAAACTGAGGTCAAATTTTAAGAAAAAAATAATAATAAATTTATAATGACAACTTAAAGGAGCCCGTGGACAGATAAAGTTTCCTAATAGATGAGATGAGGACTCTGGCTCTGTTTCTTGGAGGATCATTGTGTTTCTCTCCCTATACATACCATTATTGGTTTCTGTGCACATCACAAGGATCATATATGCCTGATTTGCTACACAAGATATGATATCTTGGACAGATTTGGCAGGATAAACCTGCAAAATAAGTGAACTAAATTTCCCCACTCTAAGTGTTCTGTACCAAGATATCCTTATGCCATTTAAAATTCACTTGAAGTGCTATCTGTTAAATTACAGACCTGTGTATTATGTTTAATAGTAATCCTCTGTGGAGTTCACTAGAAATATTAGAGATGCATTTACTTTTGTTCAAGAATATTAAAATAATTTATTCTTTACCAGACCAATTTTTAATTACTTCAGATATGTTCATGTAATTTAAAATATGCATTCAAGGAAAGAAGCTCCTCAACAAAAAGGATCTCTATATTTTTGTTTTCTAGAATACTCTTTCCTATTACATACTGAATGTGAGTATTTCCACTAAAAATGAAATTGAAACCATTCATTCCAATGTTAATTTACAAGTAAGGGGAAGCATGCTATGTAAACCTTGTGTAATTGATAGACCTTATTTATATAGGCTTTCTGAGTATGCTTTTAATTATGTTTGTTCATAGTTCTGAACTGTTATTTATAATATTTTCTGTTAATAATTTGAAAAATATGTTAGCAATTCCTGATGTGAATCTGGTTTTTAATCAGCCAAGTGTAAACTACTCAAATATTTTTTTCTGTCAATTAACTAAAAGAACCACATCTAAAATA